AAAACGAACTGAAAACGAAAGCCATATTGACCAAGAGTGACTTCCCTAAAATCTCTCTCTCTCTCTCTCTCTCTCTCTCTTTCCTTCCTTTTTTTCCTCCTTTCTTTTTCTCTCTTTGTCTCTCTGTTCGTCAAGGCTGTTAATGGGTATAACAGCTTTTGAGAATTACCACTGCCCGGGTATTATTATGATTAGAACCATGCTCTGTTCAGTTGCTTACTTGCTCTGTTCTCTGACCAGAGCTTACCAACTGATCTCTCCTATGATCTAGCTCTAACAGCTCAATGGGGGAGAAACTGTCAGGTCACTTCCAGTACCTCAAACATCATCACTGAGTAGACATTGAATTTTCGACTATCGCAATGAACGGATGATCACTCAAGGAGTTCTGTTGGGACTTAAGCCCACCCCAGATCTCAAGTGGAACGCGTAGTTACGATCCATTGATAAAGATACCGACAAATGGTTGGTTCTCTGTACCGCTCCAGTAAGTACCGGACTCCTTCTGCTATGGCCTACTCTTACAGGAGATAGATCTGACCGAAAATTCAGTACTGCTGTCATATATAGGCTGGAGCTGCCCACTCTTCACTTTCTAGTCTTACTATAGTTCAAAAGCATCTACGCAGCATTGTGGGTAATGAATTATTGGTTAGGGGGAAGAGGATGGCAGGTTAGGCAGAAGAGGTTAGCTGGGTAGCGGGAAAAGGATAGCAGGTGAAGTGATATCTAGTTAGGTGATGAGGATGGCAGGTTAAGCGGAAGAAGATAGCTGGTTAGGCGTGGGAGGATAGCAGTTGAGGAGGAAGAGGATAGCTGGTTAGGCGTAAGAGGATGACAGGTGAGGCGGGACGAGGATAGCTGGTGAGGGGGGAGAGGATAGCAGGTGAAGTGAAAGAGGATAGCTGGTTAGGCGGAAGAAGATGGCAGGTTATGCAGAAGAGGTTATCTGGTTAGGCGTAAGAGGATAGCAGGTGAGGCGCAAGAGGATAGCTGGTTAGGCGTAAGAGGATAGCAGGTGAGGCACAAGAGGATGGCAGGTGAGGCGTAGGAGGATATCTGATTAGGCGTAAGAGGATAGCAGGTGAGGCACAAGAGGATGGCAGGTGAGGCGTAGGAGGATATCTGATTAGGCGTAAGAGGATAGCAGGTGAGGCGGAGGAGGATAGCTGGTTAGGGGGAAGAGGATAGCAGGTGAGGCGGTAGAGGATAACTGGCTAGGCGTAAGAGAATGGCAGGTGAGGCGTAAGAGGATATCTGGTTAGGCGTAAGATGATAGCAGATGAGCCGGAAGTGGATAGCTGGTTAGAGGGAAGAGGATGGCAGGTGAAATGAAAGAGGATAGCTGGTTAGGAGGAAGAGGATGGTAGATGAGGTGGATAGCTGGTTAGGGGGAAGAGGATAGCAGGTGAGGCGTAAGAGGATAGCTGGTTAGGAGGAAGAGGATAACAGGAGAAGTAAAAGAGGATATCTGGTTAGGCGGAAGAGGATAGCAGATGAGGTGGATAGCTGGTTAGGGGGAAGAGGATAGCAGGTGAAGTGAAAGAGGATATCTGGTTAGGCGGAAGAGGATGGCAGAATGATTGAAAGACAATCAAAGATTTAGAAACAGTTTTAAAAAATCATATGCCAAAAATAAATATGATGTCAAAAATTTAAAATATTATTATGGATTAATTGTAATTACAAGTCTCAGTATAAATTGTAATAAATAATTATTGAACGACTTTATCATTGTGATATTTTTGCATCATATCAAGTATTAAGAATATAGTAAATAAGGTTTGCAATTTGGAGGAGAAAGTTATCAATAATAACGTTCAGACTTCGAATCCACAGTTATCTCCCTTTAACCCACTCTCTGTTTTTTTTTGTTTTTTTTTTATTTTGAAATGTACATTTTATCACATAAAATTTGGTGAGTCGCGAGCAAATTTGAATTCCGAAAATGAGGCCCAGAGAAAAAAGTTTAGGAATCACAAATTGAAATGGATGTGAATTTTACAAAAGATTTATTGAGCCTGGCAAGGTTGGGACGTTCCCTCTCGACGAGTGGTCTAAAGCACTCCAGGTGCGTAGATGGTTCAACCTACAAAGGGGAGGGACGTAGTGTGGAACCCTGCCGGAACCATTTTTTTTTATTAAATCGCGCATAATCCTTAATCATATTAACATTTCCTCTCCTCTTCCTACACATATTTAATTCCATAAACATTCCTTAATGTCTGTTAATGTCCTTCTAGATTATGGAACTCGTTACACAGAATTTTATCCACTGTCATTTATTTTCCTAGAAATGCTTATGTAATTAAAAAAAAGATATGCTGCATATAATACTGCATTTTTTTAAAATTCAATTAACATCCAAAATATCAATTTATATACCTCTTTGTTCGATTTCCTTTTATCTGTCAAACTGGCATTATCATTCAGTTTTTATTTGAGCCGCCATTTTAGCTCTAAAGTTGAAAAAGAAGTAAGAACAAACCTTGCTCCAATATATTATGATTATTGTATTCTTATACCATTTTTAGAATTCTATTATGCACAACGTCTGCTACTCTAATCAGTACTCAGTCATGTCCCCTAAAGTAGGTGACACGCTTCACCTTAGCGGGACGCTCTATTCTTCCTCACCTGAGAAAATGCGCGACAAGCAGATGCCGCCTCGTTTTCATTTCCGCCTGTCCGACATCAGAAATGCAAGGACACGTGCTGCTATCATAAAATACCCTTGTCCGCTTGCTAACGTGTTATCCGACACGACTTCCTTGAAGCTTCCTGTTTTATATTTTCTTTTTTTTTTTTTTTTTTTTTTTGCATGTCGGGTAATTTTATTTTTGACTTACTTTATCTTTTATTTAACGGTATTTTTAAATTTTGTCTGTATTTCACTTTTTATCGAAGCATTTTATTAATTTCTGTTTTTCTTTCTGCCTTATAAGCAGATTTTGCAAGTACACAAATAGGGATCGACTGAGTGTGAATAAAGAAAAAAAGAAAGAAAGAAAGAAAGAGAAGATACGTGGAACAAAAATAAAGGAATATTAAATATTTTGGAAAGAAAGAAAGAAAGAAAGAAAGAAAGAAAGAAAGAAAGAAAGAAAGAAAGCAGAGATACGTGCAACAAAAATAAAGGAAAGATAAATAGGGTGAAAAGAAGAAAGAAAGAAAGAAAGAAAGAAAGAAAGAAAGAAAGAAAGAAAGACAATGCGGAGATACGAGGAACAGAAACAAAGGAATATTAAATAGGGTGCAAAGAAAGAAAGAAAGAAAGAAAGAAAAGGTGCAAAGAAAAATAGAATAAAAGCTCAAAACGAAAGAAAAGTGCTAAGAAAAAAAAATGAAATTCATAAAAGTAGTAATAAAGAAATAAAAGAGGTGTGACAGAAAGAAAGAATGAAAGAAAGAAAGAAAGAAAGAATGAAAAAAGAAAGAATGAAAGAAAGAAAGAATGAAAGAAAGAAAGAATGAAAAAAGAAAGAAAGGAATATTTGAAGAAAAAGTAAGAAATATAAAGAGCAAAGAATGAAAATACAAGCTAATAAGTAAATGAATAAATAATAGTCCAAAGAAAGACAATAATGTAAGAATGAAACAAAGATATATGAGTAAATATAGAAAATCGAAAGTGGGAAAAAAGAAAAATGAGAGAAAGAAAGAAAAAATGAAAAAAAAAGTGATAACTAAATAAAAGAAATGTGAAAGAGAGAGAGAAAAGAACTGATGATGGTGGATAGAACGAAAGAAAAGTGTTAAAAAGAAAGAAAGGAAGAAAAAAGGAAAGAGTTAAAAAAGAAATAAAAGATTTTTTAAAAAGAGCCGATAAGATGTAAGAAGAGAGAAATTGGTTAAATAGAGAGAAAGAACGAAAGAAAGAAAGAAGAGATACGTAGAACAGAAATAAAGGAACGATAAATAGGTTGGAAAGAAAGAAAGAAAGAAAGAAAGAAAGAAAGAAAGAAAGAAAGAAAGAAAGAAAGAAAGAAAGAAAGGGAGCGGAGATACGAGGGACCGAAATAAAGAAACGATAAATAGGATGGAAATAAATAAACTAAGAAAGAAAGAAAGAAAGAAAGAAAGAAAGAAAGAAAGAAAGAAAGAAAGCAAGAAAGAAAGAAAGAAGAGATACGTAGAACAGAAATAAAGGAACGATAAATAGGTTGGAAAGAAAGAAAGAAAGAAAGAAAGAAAGAAAGAAAGAAAGAAAGAAAGAAAGAAAGGAAGCGGAGATACGAGGGACCGAAATAAAGAAACGATAAATAGGTTGGAAAGAAAGAAAGAAAGAAAGAAAGAAAGAAAGAAAGAAAGAAAGAAACGTAGAACAGAAATAAAGGAACGATAATTAGGTTGGAAAGAAAGAAAGAAAGAAAGAAAGAAAGAAAGAAAGAAAGAAAGAAAGAAAGAAAGAAAGGAAGCGGAGATACGAGGGACCGAAATAAAGAAACGATAAATAGGATGGAAATAAAAAAAACTAAGAAAGAAAGAAAGAAAGAAAGAAAGAAAGAAAGAAAGAAAGAAAGAAAGAAAGAAAGAAAGAAAGAAAGAAAGAGGTGATGAAGAAATTAATGAAATGTGAAAGAAAAGAATTGATGATGATGGGTAAAACGAAAGAAAAGAGTTAAAAAAAAGCAAGAAAGAAAAAAGACTGAAAAAAGAAATAAAATTTGTGTAAAAAAGAGCTGATCGAGTGTAAGAAGTGAGAAAATGGTTAAAGAGAAAGAAAGACAAACAAATAAGAAAAAAAAAACTGAGAACGCAAAGGAAAAAAAAATGGATAATCCCGAAGACATCTGTTTAAAATGGCTGCCAAAGCAATTGCAATGCAATAGCGAAACGACCTTTTACAAAACCCCAAAAAAATCAGTCCAAGGCCAGATGGAAAAGGTTGATAAAACCTAATTCGTGCATGAGGCGGGAAGGATTGAGAACAAGAGAGGCAGAAAGAAGACCCGTAAAATTTTAAAGCAAAAAAGAAATAAAAATAACAAATAAACCATCTCGCTACACTTTAACGTACCAACCAGAATCTAACAAAACTTCACATCTTTTCAAAGTTGCTTTGAAATAGAATTTCATTAATCAATTTAAATGCAACGTCAATCGTCAGGTTCTGTTTCCTTGAAACCTGCTCTTTTATTGTCCTCTTTGCCTCATAGTGTCCCCTTGTATACTGGAGTCTTTCTTGGGGTGAATGACTGAAATATTAAAATCAAAATATATCAACCCAGATTTCAGATTTTTATAAATCATCTTTTTATTAATAATGTTCATTGATTGATTCATTTTCTACGGCTTATCAACCCTTTGTAGCTTATTTAAAGCCAGAAAATATGTTTTGGCTGTAAGAATTTTTTTCTGTAGATAATAATGTTTTAGTGATACAAGTCTTAGTAATTAACGTAAAGCGAGATGTAGAAAAGCTGGATTCGTACCTAGTCAGAATTTGATTTGTTTTGGGGTGGTTTGGTTTGGTTTACGGCATATCTACACCTCAAGGGGTTGTTTAATGCCTACAAGATTTTTATTGCTGGTAATATATTTTTCTAAAATGTATTGATGGTAATAATTTTTTTTATTCAAAAAATCATTTTGCAAAAATATATTACTCGTGTTAAAACCTATTTTTACATATTCATAGTGTTTTGACCGTTTTTGATCCAACTATTTGCCCATAGCTAGGACCCTAACAGGTGCTACCACACTGGGTGATGGTGAACATGGGAACACCAGCAATTAAGAGGTGGTTACACGCTGCTCAAAACTTTCTGACCAGAGGCCTTGATGTTGGATGTAGTTTATCATCTTACCCAGGACGCGGATGTCGTTTATCGTCTTACCCAGGACGGTCAGAATTTGATAAACAAACAGGAAATTATAATGTGGATTATAAAGTGGGGGATCAATTCTATATTACAACCATATATAAATAAGATAAATTGATCCCTCACTTTGTGACCACGGTTCTTTCTATAGATTTATATCCCAGATGTTGCTTATCATTCCAAAGAATATAATTCATCAGCTTCACCAGTTGCTTTATCAAGTTACTTTGTGTCTGCTTTCATTTCAGGCATCTTCATCAGTCAACACTTGGTTGACAATAATCTATTAGCAGATTTTCTATGCATTTTAGAAAAAAAAATACTTTCAAAAAAAGTTGGAAGTGTGAGGGGTAACTTATAATTAATGGGGTTTCAAGCCTTGGATTTTGTTGCAGCATACCTACAGACGATAATGGGTCTGTCTCCATTCACATAAATACAGTAGAAAATACTGTATGTTGGGTTGCAGTTGAAGATTCGTCTCCAGCTGTGCTGGTCAAACTCTTCTGCCCGGAGGCAGAGGATACGCAAACGAGTCTCGTCTCGGGAAATCTACCAACCCCGTTTTAGATGAGGATACCCCACATTAAGCTCCACCTTGTGCGAAGGGGGGCGGTTGGTAACTATCCTGCAGTTGTAGATTCGTCTCCAGCTGTGCTGGTCAAACTCTATCCCCAGATGAGGCCATATCGAAGGGCATATTGGGTCTATGGGGAATTTTTGGCCGAGCTTACGGGTTTGGATACCCCCATTAAATTCGGCCTTGTGCCACATCTGACCGCGTGGGGCGGTTGGTAGATATCCTGCAGTTTCAGGTTCATTGTAGAATCTAATTGACTCATTTTTAGCAGTTGATTACTTCTTCTACGCGCCGCCTGCGAATCCTATATGTGTTGTTCTTGTCCTAAGTATTATCATTCATTACCAACCATCGTGTGATTATTCTATTCAGTAACCTTCCTTAGGTTACAACAAATATGGATCAGAAATTAAACCTGAATTTTTATCAGGATATTCTACAGTACTGTGCATTGCAGACTTTGAGAAATTCCTTGAACTTTCCATTTAATGAAGGTAATATCTGGGGAAACACTCCCGGGTGCTTTGGCTAATAATATAGTAGTAAATACTGTATGTTGGTCTACAGTTGGAGATTCATTGTGGAATTCACTTGACTCACTTCTAGCAGTTGACTACTTCTTCTACACGCCGCTTGCCAATCTTATATGTGTTGTTCTTGTCCTAAGTATTATCGTTCATTACCAACCTTCGTTTGATTATTCTATTCTGTAACCTTCCCTAGATTACAACAGATTCTATTCAGAATCATTTATCTCCCTTTAACTCAATTCTCCAAGTTTTTATTCACCTCAGTTGTAGCCAGGTTTTCAACTCACAACGCTTTGTGCAAAGTCACTGGATTCAACCAAATTTTATCCACTGTGCCATGTGCCCTGAAGATAACTGATAGTGAGACATCCAGAAGAGGCATGGCACGTTGAAATAGAACATTTTTACCCCGGTGGACGAAATAAAAGGTTCAGTTCGAAATTCCAATCACCTGAAGAAGGCCGGAGCGTACAACGACCGAAACGTCGTGAATATAGCAATAACGATGAGGACAATAGTCCGAACAATGTAAATAGTGTAAATAATTACAATACCTCATCTCAGAAATATAGACAGCTGTTTTCAGAATTTTTATTTATAAAAGGGTAAATATTAAATATTGCATTGCAAGTGGCTCACTTATTTTGAAAGTTTTGTACATTTTTTCAAAATTTTTGAATAAAAAAAATTATTTTTAAATTTATTTCTTTATAAAATGATAAATAATACATTTTTATAAAATGATAAATGACAAATAACGCATTAGACTTGGTTTACTTATTTTATAGTCTTGAAAATAAACATTGCTGAGGGAGCCAAAAGTGTATACAGTAATAGCGGTGTCAACAGAAAAACCGTTCTGATGAAACCCCAATTATTTTGCGAGGTTAAATGTTAAACTTTGCCAAAATTTCGTTAGAAACAAAGTAAAGAGTGCTAGTTTGAGATCTAATATCATTCCTTCTATATAGAAGTGAATGCTGGATAATTTCTTCACAGATGAACAGAAGACATGATTCTTCATAAGGATGCTGATAATTTAAAATCCAGAGACGGATATGCAATGTGGTTGGCCCTGATCTGGCATCTCGTTTACAGTTGCTCTCTCACAGACGTGCCGTCGCCTGCCTCTGTCTTTTCTACAAATACTTTCACGATAACTGCTTTGACGAGCTACTTTCGCTCGTTCCCAAACAGCATAAATTTAAACGTGCCACTAGCTCAGCATCTCAGTCCCACCCTTTCACTGTTTACTCCAGTAGCTTCATGTCTCGCACCCCTCGTCTGTGGAATTCCTTTCCTATTACATGTTTCCCTGATAGCTATAATCTCTAACTATTCAAATGCAATGTCAATCGACATCTCCAGATGCCTGGACAGTCCTTCTCTTCATCCTTTCCTCTTTCACACCACTGTACTATTGCTCCCACTTTCTGTAACCCCTTGCGTGCTAGTGGCACTCCCACCTTGCTTGGGGTGAAAAGTTTAATAAATAAATAAATTTCTGGGATATACAATGAGACCAGAAGACCTGGAAAATTTGACACCCCCAGGAAATATTAAAGGCAAAGGCAACCGATGATAGTTCAACATGGAGTCCGAGGGACAGTATAAATACATTACTAAGTTGTTTTTTACAGTAAGATTTACCGTTTACAAGGCCCGGAGCCACTCGAGGTAGAGGGTTACTTGAATATATTAACATTGTAATAATCGGGGAAACATCCTCTTGGTAGTCGGTTTCACAAGGCAGAGGTTCGCAGGCAGAGGCTCGTGTGGAACTTACTTCTCTCCAATGGAATATGGAGCGAATATAGGTGGTTTGTTACTATGTAAGTGGAATGGCGTGTTCTTGCTGTGAAGGTGTGCCTTGGCGGGACCAGGGAATGTAGCTCGTCCGAGCACTTTCCGTGTTAGTAGCGGTAGAACAGTGAGACGCTTGCCACGCCCCGCCTGTGGGAGCGCGGCTGAAGGGTAGAGAATAATTCGTCGCTCACAAGGGCTCGGGGACGCCTTTAGGCTCTAGAACGGCTGGAAAGTGAGGTCTGAACAGCACCCGCCCAAATATTATTGGCCTGATTTGAAAGGAAATGATAGCAGGAGGGGGTCAAGTACTTACTGGAGCAGTACAGAGAGACGAGCATTTTACCTGCATCCTTAGCAACGGATCGTATTTACGAGTTACACTTGAGGTCGGGTGTGATTTTGAGGTCCATCAATGTCTCAAGGCACGGTATGATAAGAAGGATAAGAAGTTGTGGGAAGCCATGATCGCCCACGTCCTGAAGGGATAGCAGATATAGAAGAAATCTTATCATTTGTGTTATTTGTCCAATTCTTCCATAGTCAGTCAAAGAGAAGGACTAAGAATTCAAAGGTGTGACGAAAGCAACGAGAAACCATTCCACTACCTTTCCCAAAGAATTGCAAATATGAGGTCTGGTAAAAACATGCAATGATAACAGCAGAAATTTCAATATGAGCACTGGTAAAAAAATCGGTTGCTGAAGACATTAGGTTTATAATACCCACAAATTCATACACAGACATCCTCATGGCACAGTGGATAAAGGCGTTAGTTAGATCCAGTGACAGGACCCAAAAGCGTGTGAGTTCAATACCTGGTTAAGGCGGTGGAGAGGGGAATTAACAGGAGATAACTGACATCCATTAAACACGTGGAATTAAAACAATTTATCCAGTGAGCGAAACAAAGGGTTCAGTTCGACATTCCAACCACCTGAAGAAGAATGAGGACAATAGGCCGAATAATGTAAGCAGTGTACATAATACTTCATCTCAGAAATATAGACAGATACTTTCCCAAAGAATCACAGTATTTCACAGATAGTAAGAAAAAGGAATCGGTGGAGAGTCCTTAACATCTTCATCTTGAAGAGACATGTCATTAAATAAAATAAAAAACAGTTTCCACCGTCTTCATTGACTAGTCCTATATTTTCACCCTAGTACACAAAAATAAAAAAACATTCAGTCGCATCAGATATTTTATTCTAGAACTTGCAAACAGCAACATGTGTCCCCTCTTATATATATATATATAT